TCGTTCATTTGAGTTCTGTATTATTTGCAACTCTGATTTACATGAAACGCTGTTGGAGCGCTTTGTCTGAGAAAAGGCTCTCTCGTGTCACTGGAGCTATTAAAAGTCCACCTTGTGCTTTGAGTCATTGACACCCCCCCCCCTCGATTCATCGCTTCATCAAATGGCGAGGCCTGTTGAAACACTCGCTCATATTGCCTGCTGTGACTTCCATTAGAGGTACACGCAAAGGGGATTTTTTTTTTTCAAGTCTTTGACTTTGCTATTAGCAAGAACTGGTACTGGAATTAAATATAGGGTACAATGCTGGTTAAATATACTGCATGGGATTAATACAAGGCTTTCACACACATGACACACAATTTGTTCAGATGCATTTGAATCCCATCACAGGAGGTTTAACACTTGACAATCTTCTGCTCATTTGTTGTTTTAAAGAGTGAGGCAGTAAAATGATATTAAGTTGACACTCTTACCTTTGTTGGTTATTTTTCCGTCAACATTGTAGAACACAAGACTGTAACACTTCCACATGCCGCTTCTCAGATTCTCCGGTGTCATGATTGTCTGCTCAGGGTGGGCTTGATGGGTAGTGTCCTGCATTTTCATAGCAAAACAATGAATTATTACTGGCTTACTTTACTGATGGGTCAAGAGGGCATACAATGGGTCAAGCTGAAAGTGAGCACCCTCTACTGAGACACAAGAAAAACTGCTATCGGTCATTGGGTCAGATATGAACTCCCTTCTAATTAAAAGTGACAGCCCTAACGTTCATATTTTTATATAAACAATAAAAACACATGTAGGGATGACAATAAGAAAGATTATATTCAATGACACGGTTGGGTGTGTATGTCTGAAATATCCTGCTGGTGCCATATTATTGTTTATATTGGTGAAAACATTATATAAACACTTTGGTGAAATAACCTCAGTTTGCAAATACTTTAATAATATTAATGATTTTGGTCACTATAATTGTGATACAGAACTTTCACAGGGTCTCATCTCTTCATTGATGTCCAACAGCCAGCATTTGATTGTTTCCAATCTTTGTTACATCCCTTGTTTGCTAACACAGACACTTACTTCAGTAATTCACCAGCAACACAAACATAGATAAAAAAGTTGCTCACGTGTTAAGAATCTTTGCTGACAGCAGAGTGCAGCTAGATGTTTAGCAACGTAGCAGTTTGCAATCCAGAAATGTAAGCAATGCTTCAAAAACACGTTGACAACACACAAAAACAGCCTAACAGACACATGTCAGCGTTTGAAAGAGCAAAGACATTTCATACCTGCAGAGGAGATGTGAATAAAGATGTCCGGACAGGTGCTTCTTCTCAGGTAACATCATGACAATAAAAGTCCAGGACTTCCTCTACTGACCTCTGCAGTCATGACTAATCAACCACAGGCCCCATCTTTTCAAAAAAGACTCAACAAGTAGATCATGGATTATTTCCTCTGGCACGCACATTCATTTGTCCTTCTAATACTTCTTTTAAATCCTGTTAATGTTTCAACCTCTTTCAAGTGTTTAAACTGACCTAACCTCCTGCACAAGGCTTTTTATAGTTGTGACCTATTTATAATGTCTCTCAGTAGAGCACATCCCTCCATCAAGGTCCAACAGTCCCCTTCAATTCATTCAAGCTGCACTAAACTTCACACTCTCATAGATATCAGATTTTTAACTTCCATTAAGATCCATTAATTATTCCCTGGGAAATTGAAGAAAATGTCAAATAAGTGCCCTATTCCTGGATGGTAGAGAGAGTAATAGAAAATTCCTGGATCTGCCAGTTTAGCGGGCTCTGTCTTTGCTCATGTCTCATCCTTCCATCAGGTTTTGTGGAAACCTGTTAAGTAGTTTTTTCACAATCCTGCTGACAAACAAATGTTTACTTTTTCCATCAGATCATCATCGATCAGCTTCCTAGTTAAATCAATTCATCACATATCGGTATCAGTCCTGTCACTCCACTCTCACTGAACTTGTTGCCTGGCAATGGAAGAATTCTGGTAGAATCAAATCGATCATTTTTTTCTCACAAAAAAAATCAATTTCAATTTGCTTCGGCTCTTTAATCAGACATTGTAAAAACAAGTGTCACGTCTCTCATGTGGACAATTTTCCCAATCAAACTACCTTCATGTATTGGCAGTGCATTCTTAAAAGGATGGCAAAACACCACAACCTGGATTATGAAAAATGATTAAGTAATTATTAAGGAGCAAGAGAGGAGATGGTGGTGAAGTCCCCTCATGAATACTTTTTCCTACAAATCCACTGTCCTTCATTTTGGCCACTCTAACTACCTTAATCAAATATTTTATTGTCTTAAGATATTATGCCACTATAGCGATGTGCCCCATGAATTCTTCTCTTATGGAGTTTAAAGAAGTAAATTGTCTTGGTTGAAGAACAGCTGATGTGCAGCTCCTGTATAATAGCCCAGTGTTTCATATGTAGTGGAGTGCTGCACACATAAAGATACAGCACATCTGAGACTCATTATTGCACAGAGGCTGTTACTGCTCCTATTTGGAGTTTAATTTCTTTTTAAATTACTGATTATCATCTCCTGCTAATGCTCAAGCAAAGTGTGAATGGCAGAGGCTGGCAGAGGCTGGCAGAGCTCAGAACAGCTTTACCTCATGTTTTTTCATGATTCCCCTTCCATGGTTATGTGGTGTTTGCACATAAGTTTT